GGCTGAGTTGGTGGCTGGCTTTGTTTACACTCTAAGTACTGTGAGCTTTTCTGACTCCCAAGTCTTCGGGCTTCTGGTTGTATGGGTGGTATATCCTCCCCACAGTAGTGCTGGGGAGTGCCAGAGGGCTGAAATCCTCCCAGCTGAGCAGGCTGCCAGTCCTCCCTTTGAGCTTTCAGGACTCATTTTGTTTAGTCCAAATAGTTCCACCCTGAGCAGTGCCTCTCCCGTGCCTGAGGTCCTTTCAAGAGCCCAGCTGTATATCTCTTTAACTCCAGGATTTTATCACAGTTTTTGTGGGTACTTGTGGTAAGCAGGTAGACCCCTGAGCAAGTGGGCACTTCCTAGGACCTCTCTATGTTGAATGTGCCCATGAAGATTGTTAAAATTGCTGCATTCTCCTAGGGTTGGTTGGGTTGGGTGGTTGGGTTCTGCACTGCACTTCTCCTCCCCCCCACCCCCCACCCGCACCTGCAGCAGCTTGGGATCCACTCACCTAGCTGTGTTGTCTCAGTTTATATCCAGGGCTTTGTCGGGGCTGCTGGGACAAAGGTCAGCAACAGGTCTGCGGTGTATCCTCAGGTCTCTGTTTCTGAGCTGTAGCCTTTTCCCACAATTTGGTTTCCTCTCCCTAGCTGAATTGTCTGTTGTAGGGGTTGTAGCAAGGCTGGGCCAAATACTGTGGAGCAGCTGCAGCTGCCGCTGCAGGCAGTTTCCCTCTGCAGTGCTTCCTGCCTTCCGGGGCGCCTAGATTTGTAAAGGAGTCTGGTGAGTAGGAAGCCACTGGAGTTCCCCTATCAGAGTTGCAGGGTTCAGCTAATCCTGCCAGTGTGGCTTCCCTTATGGGAACTCCCCAATCGTCAATTCTCCCTTGGTTATTTTTCTTCTAGTGAGTCCAGGGCATTCTCATTTGGTTTGAAACTCGTAGCATGTAAGTCTATAGTCCATTTTTACATAATCCCATGCAAATTTGGATGTAGTCATCTCGATGTCTTTATTCTGCAGCCATCTTGCCCGTTCCCAGCTGGTCAAGCTGATCAGTGGCTTTGCGTGGTACTCAGGCTCTCCTAATCGGGTCTTCAGTTTCAGCGGTTTTTCCCTGTACCCAGGAATTGCTGATCAGATTTGCAATCTTTCGGCAGCCTGGGTTCCACCCACTGAGCTGAGCTGTCCCCCTTCACCTCCAGAGTTTAGCGTGTGGCAAAGGGGCTCCTGCACCCTGTTGAACTTCCAGGCTCCTGGGTTTTTTCCTCCTGGGTTTCCCAGAAGGTAACTCCCCAATCGTGTATTCCCCCTCAGTTATCTACCTTCTAGTGAGTCCAGGTTGTTTTCGTTTGGGTTGAAACTATCAGTAAGTAAGTCTATAGTCCATTTTCAGTCCTCTATTCCCATGCAAGTGTGGACACAGTGATCTCTGTGTCTTTACTCTGCCACCATCTTCCGGAAGTCCTCTATTTCCTTTTTTAATGTCTCATTTTCTTTCTTCAGTTCATTGAATGTTTGTTTATATCATTTTTTTCTTTTTAATTTTTTCATTCATTTCCTTGTTTGTGTTCTTCAACTCCTCAATGGTTTGTCTCATTTCATTTTTTTTCTTCTTTTTGTTTGGTTATCATGATTCTGAATTCTCTATCTGGTAGGCTGAGCAGTTCTTCTATTTATTTGGTGGTTTTTGCTGACTGTTCTTTTTGTGGTGAATTTTCCCCATATGGACTTGCTTGAATATTTGTTTGTCTTCGTTTCTCTGTCATGCATTTTCTAATACTTTCTATTCATTGAGACACGGTGTTGCTATTATTGACAGGCACTTTTTTCTGGCTTTTATTTCTGGGATGGCAGAGGGACTTCCAGACACTTCAGTTGTGGAGGGTATTCTGAGCCCTTTTTTGTTTCAATATCTCCTGTTTTTCCAACCTCTACCCTGTGGAATTATGTCTGTTGTCTCTGCCAGTGATGTTCAGGGGTCTCATGTGGTATTAAGCTTCTTCTGGTAACTTGTTGAGTCCTTGTCTCTCTGGAAGGTGCCTTTTGATCTTAATGGCCTTCTGATGTCCCGGGTTCCCTCTATGCTTGGCTGTAGCCCAGAAGTGTGCATTAGACGTGTTGCAGCTGCGCCTGTGGTTGTGCCAATCAGTGGTTTTGTTTATTTTCTGAGCACTGTAAATCTTGCTAGGTAGTGCCTTACTGGCCCACACATCTTCAGGCCACTGCTGTTTAGTAACACCTTGAGTCCTAATTCTACACACCCCCCAGTTTTGCAGGCTGTCTATCTTCCCTCTAGCACTCCAGGGCTCTTTGTGCCCACTCAGAGGCATCTCTCCCTGAGCAGTCTTTACCTGCTTCTTGGGGGAGTGTTAATGGGCCTGTTTTGATTCAGTCTAACCTTTTTTCTTCCTTTTATCTCTGGGGCTTTGTGAACTTGCTGGCCCCACCTTAGTGACTAATGCCAGGAACAAGCCTCCAGGCCTATGCTGTGGGGGTGGGTGTAAGAGTTGCATGCCTTGCAGCTGTCCCTCTCACCAGATTTTTTTCTCCACCCCCCTAGGCTTTATATGCCCACTTAAGCAGTCTTCCCCCTAACCCCCACCCTCGGTTCTAATCACTGAGCCAAATGAGCAGGAAGCTTCTGTCTGCAGTGCTATAGACTGGGCGTTCCCCCAATCAATTGGAGTTGCGGTGTTCAGCTTAAAATCCTGTCTGTGGTGCTTTGGGATAGCAGTTCCCTTATCCGAACTCTCAGTTATCTTCCTTCTAGTGAGTCCAGAGTGTTCTCATTTGGGTTGAAACTTGTAGCATGTAAGTCTATAGTCCATTTTTATATATTTCCGTGAGAGCCTGGATGTTGTCATCTCAGGGTCTTTACTCTGCTGCCATCTTGCCCGCTCCTGAGCTGGTCGAGTTGGTGCATCACCAGCTTTGCCCAGCGCCCAGGTGCTCCGGATCAGATCTGCCATCTTTCCTGTGCCTGGGCTCCACTCACTGTGCTAAGCAATCTCCCTTCACCTCCAGGGCTTTGGTGAGGGGTAAAGGAGCTCCTGCAGCCCACCAAACTTCCAGGCTCCTGAGCCCTCCAGGGGTGGGGAGGGGAGTTCTCTTATCGGAACTCCCCAATCACTGATTCTCCCTCAGATATTTTCCTTCTAGTGAGTCCAGGATTTTCTCTTTTGGGTTGAAACTTGTAGTATGTAAGTCTATATTCTGTTTTCAGTCATAAATTCCTGCGCGTACCTGGATGCAGTGATCTCTGCGTCTTTTGGACTCGTGTTTTACTGACAGTGGCTGCATGTCAACTCTAACCACTATTTGGAAAATTGGAAAGGTTGATATTAGCACATTTGGAAAAAACTAAATTTGGAAAATGTGTTATATTATTTTTGAATAACTGACAATATCTCTTATTACCTTATAACTTGAACCTTTGGTGTCCCAAAATTCTGAGTTTAAATACTGTGCAGTTGCTGTATAAAATGACTTTGGTGAAAGCTTTTCTTAAGTTCTCTGTTTTCCCACTTTTAGGTAGAATAAAAAAAATTTCTGACATCAAAGAACATGTGTGGGAGTGAAAGAAATAAGACTTTTCTCACTTTTACCACAGTGCCTACACCAGAATAAATCTCAATGGATGTCATTTATTAAAAACTATTTAAAACTTTAAAGAAATGTTTTCATAATAGCAACTTTTACTGGAGTAGTCAGCATGCTTACTGTCCTTTTTCAAGTGATCATTTATCTATAAAAATTGTTGTTAATTGTACTAATGGATGTTGACTACAGTCATTTATGTGTTTATGTGTTTACCTTTTTTGGGAGGGGCTATTCTAGAAACTATTATTCTGAGACTACAAATACATATATAGAATACTACAATAATTTCCACAACATATTCTGCACACTAGTTACAGCAGCATCTAATTTAAGATGTACATGATGATCCCAAAGTCTTTTCCCCCCCAGTTTAACTGAGAAATAATTGACCTTATAACATTTGTATAAGACATGCAATGTAATGATTGCGCGCGCACACACACACATTTATATATATTACAAAATAATCACTTAAGTGAGTATAGTCAATGTCCATCACCACAGTTACATTTTTTTCTCTTCTAGTGAGCACTTTTAAGATCTACTCTCAGCAATTTTTAAATGTACAAAACAGTGCTGTTAGCTGTAGTTACCATTCTGTATATTATAGCCCCAGGATTGTTATTTTTTATTAAGTAATATTGGCACCCCATCAGGTATTACCACCAAAGTGCACCACCACCTACTTCTCCCCATTCTACTACCATGGACCATTGTACTTCCTTTTCTCTTTGTTCTTAACCCTCTTTCACCTTCTCCCCCTCTTGGTGCTTCAGTCCTATAGTCTGCTATCAATGGTTAGTTTTTCATTTTGTCTTTATCTGTCTACTAACTTATTTACTTTATATTCTACATATTAGTGACATCAACTAATATTTATTTTTCTCCTTCTGACTTAATCCACTTAGTATTACAATGTCCAGCTCCATCCATGTTGCCACAATGACATGAGTTTATCTTTTTTTGATCGTATTTCACCACATCTTCACCCACACATCTATTCTGGGGAAACAGTTTTAAGTTATTTCCATAATTTAGCTGTAGTAAAATAGTGCTGCAATAAACATGGGAGTGCAAGTTTCCTTTCAAATTAGTGTTTTTGAATTTTTAGGCAGACAGGAGTGGAACTAATGTGTCAAATGACAGATCCATATTTAATATTTTGCGACACCTCCTCCATACTGTTTTCATAAGGGCTGGGCCACTTTGCATCCCCATCAGCAGTGAAGGAGGGTTCCTTTCTCCACATCCTCACCAGCACTTGCTCCTGGTCTTTTTGATGTGGACCATCCTTACAGGCATGAGATGATATCTCATGCCTACAATAATTTCTTTTCGAGTGTGTGTTATGTACAAGTGATTACAAATTGACAGTACACTTGGACTTTAAAACAAACTGTGTTCCTCTTCACCAGACTGAACCATCAGTCCCTTCAGCAGAGCACTCTGGTGGGTGGAGGAATTGAGGCGGTGCTGACTTCCGCACATCCCAGCCTTCCCTCAGTGCCTCTACCTCAGGAACCCATGAGGCCCAGGCAGCCACAGGTTCGACAGCAACAGAGGCTCCTCCAGGTATGTGACAGGAGAAATAAGGACAAGGCATTATGGGCCCTCAAAACTCAAAAGAAATAACAAGCTTTTCCAAATTAATTGCCAAGTTCCGAGGTACCCTAGGAGCTAAACTGGTAAAATTTATTTCCAACTTAACTAGTATCTCCTTTTGTCTCTACATCTATCAAGGCATAGCCAGAAATTGCAAAGCATCCTTTTTCCCTTTCACAGAGTATCAGGAGGTGGCTGGAGAGTTAATTTAATAATGTAAGCTTCAGCTTACAGTCACTCACTAGAGGTCATGCAACTTGACTGCAAAATTTTTTCATGCATATTTAAAACACACACACAAAATCGAGCTGTCCAGAGCTTTTGTCATATTCCTATGAGGATTTTTAATCCAAAAATTTCTGTAATACCTCTGGTCTGTTTAGGCTGTAAAGTTAGCGTTTCATAGGTAGGATTTTTCAATGGGATACTTTATTTCATCTGTTAGAATCCAGAAAGATATCTTTCACTTATGTAACATAAATACTAAGTTTCTTGGATCAAAGTTTCCTCCTGTTGATATACTCTTGCTTCTAACTTTCTTATGTGGGAAATACAGGCTATTACAGTTACCTGTTCCACTTGTCTTCATTATTAACAGCTTGACCTAGCAGTCTAACTTGAGATGAACTGTCATTATATTACCATAAAGAAAGAAAAAATAAAAATACCAAAAATGGGGAATCTACAGAGTTGAGATACCCAAAGTGTGTCAGTGTGAAGTCAGTGAGAAGTAAACCTGTCATGCAGGAGTGGGCAGTAAAGGAACATGTATGACTCAGTATTGACACTGACTGGAGGGAAGAAAAATACATCTGCCCTAAACATTGAAATCACCAGCTCTAGTGGGCTTGAGGACTGAGTCAGTATGATATAACAAATTTTGGCCTGGCAGTGCCCTAGGGGATAGGCAAAAACCAAAACAAATCCTCACAGAACTAGGCTTTACATTTAGAAGATGCCTTTAGTTGTAGGATGCCATTAGCTGATTCCAATTTTTATCTTAATATGAAAAAAAACACAAAGTCCTATCACAAAATTGTAAAAATACAGTAGTTGGTTTGAGTTGAAGATGGTCCCATTTACTCTCTCTAACGTGGAAAAACCCCTCCAGTCCTCAATTTTGTCATAAGTAAAATGGAAATAATTATAGTAGCTAATTTTGGATGTGTAGTGAGAATTAAATAGGAAAATGTGAGTGAAATACTTACTTGGTAATACTGTTGTTAAGATACCATTAATATAACTATTAATACTCATATTTCTTAAAGCAGTGTTTTCCAAAATTCTAAGCATATGTTTTCAAAAGGTTTTAGGACTTTGTATTTCTCTCTACTGTAAAATTTCTCAATCCCAAAACACAAAAGAAAGCTATTACATTTTTTGTTAATTTACTATTTCCTTTTTTTATACTTGTGTTTCTTAAAGCTACCAATTTTAAAAACCTTCCTTATCTGTTATTCTGTCCTATTTATTGATCCCAAATAGCGTAACATTGTCTTCCTGGTAATTTTTTCTTTACCAACACATTCCGTAGAGATTTAAAAAAAAAAAAAAAGTGATTGTCTCCTGCATCAATGTTGTACCTACTCTTTTTTTTTTTTTTTTTTTTTTTTTGGTAATTAACTATCTCCATAACAACACAAATTCAGAACTTTAAAGCTGAGTTAATTTTTCTTGGAAGGGACCCAAATGGAGAAATGGCTTCATATAGCAACCACTATGTTTCTGGCTCAACTCACATTGTTTATGTTGGAGTGATCCTTCCTAGACATCACCTAGGATTCCACATTCATGGATATTCTGATAAATGCCACCTAGAAATACCTCTTCTATTATTTGACCTTAAAGATGGAAAATGTAAAGTTTAAGAAGAAGTCTCTCACTTATCAAGTTGGTGTTTGCATGGAGGACATTTTACAGGTCACTGAGAAAACTACCTAGTAGTTTCCCATCTGTATCCCACCTGGAGATATCTAGTCTGTGTTTCTTCAGTGATGTAGAAATGTTCTCCAAGGGCCATGTATGTGAGTCACCTTTGTCACAGACACCACTTATTTTTTGACTGATAGTGTATGCCAGAACTTCTCACATCTGTATCTTCCTTTAAAAAAAATAATAATTTTCAAGAGTTCCTGAAGAACAACTGCTCCACCTCCTCCCATTTTTCTTCCTTCTATCTCCTCTTTCTGTTCTTGTTTTTCCTCTTTCCTCATCAACATCTTCCTTTAAGAAAATCAAGATTTCCTCCATATGTCCTAAGGAATTAAAACTACAAAGCAGTCAGCCCCCCTTGTTGCACAGTGGGTTAAAGCACAGCACTAAGAAGCTAAAGCCACTTCCGCATGAGTTTGATCCCCGCCTGCCCTGGAGGAGATCCACATAGCCCGGCAGACCTCTCCTGACCCGCCCGCTGCTCCCCTCAGCAGTATACTTTGTCGATCTGCCTGTTATGCTCCCCACCCCATTCTGTCTCTGGTGAATCTTCTCACTGCCCCTGCACCTCTGGGCTGCACCTCAGTTCTGTGCACAAATAAATAAATAATCTTAAAAAAAAAAAAAACTACATAGCATGTTGATGTCTAACCTGGTAGTATAAAATCAAAGATAAGGAAGAGAACATGATGTGAAATGAATTAAAATAGTAACTATGAAAGATGTCCATGAATAGTGGAAAGTACTGAAAGGAGAGTGTCTTCATGGACAAGCAGATTTCTTCCTTTCCCTAAAGATAAACACTGCTTGATAAGGCAAAAGAGGAGAAGGCTGGGATATAATAGTTTTATTGTACCAGTTTATTAGATAGAAGGCATATTGGAATGTATCCAGCCCTACTTTTAGGTGTATATTCCTTTTTCTCTTTACAGATGCAGCAAGCCCAGCAGCCCCCGGGGCCCCCGGGGCCCCCGCAACCCCCGCAGTCCCAGCAGCCCCAGCAGCCCCAGCAGTCCTCACAGCCCCAGAGTCAAACCCTTGGTCTTCAAGCAATGCAGACCCAGCAGCCTTTGGTAAGATCAGGAATTTTAGAACCAGACATGTGGGTTTCTCCTTTAAAGCCAGTTGCATTTTTCTTACCCCATAAGATTGGTAAGAGTCAAAATGGTCTAGATATACCCTAGCAACTTTTTCCCCTAGAATTATAACAGTGTAGGACTGTGTTGTATAATGACCATACTAGTTTTCACAGAAAGGTTTAAATAAATACTTGGGGAGCAGTAGCTAATACCATTTTTCCTCTTCATTATTTATACTTTTCCATTGATTAAAACATTTATATGCAAGACACCAAATTTTTTTGTAAACAATGTTAAATGATCATAATATATGATTTTATTACCTATAGGTTATTTTTGAATTTTTTACAATAAGAGAAAATATGAATGCTTTCTAAATAATCTTTTCTGATATAAAAGAAAGTTTGATTTCAACCATTTAGCCTTTGCTGCAAGAATACTCATGTAATTCATAATTGTAAGGTTCACTTCTATGGCTTTTTAAATTAAATATTAAAGGTTATATGCATACCATAAATTAACATTTTCTATACCTCTGTAATTTACAGCAGCCTTTGGCAATACCGTATCTTGCAGTTCACTATTTTTCTTTAAATTAATTCTTTTTCTAATCATTTAAACATATTTTGAAAAGAAAAATTTTATCATTACCACCAGTGGTCACATACTTGCGACCTTGATATGTACTTGCCCTTATCAGAAATATTATAAAAACAAAGTAGGTAATTCAGTAAAATGATGAGTGCTGCCTACAATAAGCAGGCTTACCACATACAAATCATACTTTAAGAAATCCTGGTTATCAGAACAGGATTTAAAAGATGAATGGGGGCCCTTCCTGGTGTTGCAATGGGTTAAAACTCAGGACTACGAGGCTAGCCAAAGCCACTTCACCACAAGTTCAATCCTGGTCAGGGAGGTGACCCACATGGCACGGCAGACCTCTCCTGACCTGCCCACTGCTCCCCTCAGCAGTATACTTTGTCAGCCTACATGTTCTTCTTTCCACTCTGTCTCTGGTGGATCCTGTTACCACCCCCTACACCGCTGGCCTGTTACCCCAATTCTGTATGCATAAATAAATAAATCCTAAAAAAATAAAATTAAAGATAAATGGTTTCATAACTTCTACTAGAGAAAGAACAGCATAGCTGTGGTAGTAGCACATTAGGAGGATCAGGGTAGAGGTAGGTGGTAAAACAATGATTATGCCCAATAGTACTACTTCTGGAAAAAGGTCAGTTGGGGTAGGGTAATTCTAGTGCATTATACAAACATCTATCTTAGACAGTTTGATTTCCATTTTTAATGAAATTCTTTATCATGACGTAACTCTGACTCATTTATTTCCTAGTGGGTCTTAAAATTTATTATGATGCATTTCAAAAATCCTTTTTAAAGTGCCGGGACTTAAAAATGTTCACTTTTTTAACATCAGCAGTATATTTGTAGAGACTGGGCATTACTTATAAATGTTAGGAAAGACTCCGTCAGATGGGATGCTGCTAGCTGATTCTAAACAACCACCCAAGAAAAATATGTAATTTACCTTGAAATTATTTCAAATGCCCTGAAGACTTGTAAGAATGGTTCAAATTGTATAAATACTTCATTCAACTTCATTTTTAATATTTGTCAACATTTGCATATGCGTTTCCCCCATTATCTGTTCAAAAAAATAACATTCTTATGCTAGTTTACTCCAAATACTTAAGGTATTTTTTTTTAAGAACAAGATTATTCTATGTCTAAAACTTGGCATTACATCATAATAATAAAAATTAACATTAATACAATTCTATGACTTTTTTGCAGACTATGCCAATTGCACCATCACTATGCCTTTGCAGTTTTTCCTAGTCTGGAAGCACCCTTTGCATGTTTTTGTTTTTTTAGAGATTTATTTATATATGCATATAGAACTGATTTATAGGCCAGAGGTGCAGGGGCGCTAAGTGGCTTCACCAGAGACAGAATGGGGAGCAGAACAGGCAGATCGACAAAGTACACTAATGAGGGGAGCAGGGGACGAGACAGCTGTGCCACATGGATCACCTCCAGGGCTGGGGATTGAACTCCCACTGAAGTGGCTGTGGCTAGTTTGCAGTGCTGTTTCCTAACCTGCTGTACCACCAAGGAGGACCAAAAGTTTTTAATTTTCCATTCTTTTTATTCATCTCTAATTTGGAACAATCTTACAGCCTACTTATTTTGTCTTATGACATTGACTTTTTTTGACATTTTGATATTTATTTTGTAGAATGTTACTCAATTTGATTTTTTGATGCTTCCTCATGATTAGATTCTTATAAGGCATTTTTGGTAGGAATATACAGAAGTGATATGTTTATCTCTGTTTATCAAATTGTCGATGCATTTTTAGTGATTTTATTTTACTGTCTGTTTAAGTGACACCTGCTAGATCGCTATACACTGAAGTTACTGATAACCTTTTGTAGTTAGTGAGTAACTTGGGCACTTACTTCAATACAATAACTATTATTTTACTCATGAGACCTTTACCTACCACTGTTAGTATTTATTAAATTGTTTTTGCTTAAATCCATTTTGTTGGTTGTAATGGGAAAATGATAATTTGCTAAATAGTTCCCTTTTTTTCTTCATTGAAGAGTATTTAAGAAATAATTTTTTCTTCTTTATCTATCTTGCTCTATATAAGTTATGTTTAAATATGAAACCTAATATTTGACTCTTTAATTTTAAGGTGTACAGACTACTGGAAGAGTTTAAATTCTTCCTCCAAATTTTATGCAATTCTTTATCCAAATTTTATGGCATCAATTAGATTAAATTTATAAACTTAAAAATTCGCTCTCTGTGAAGTGTATTATAACATTAAGCATTAAAATTTCTTAAGGTGGTCCAAAATATTCTGATGGCATTTTGACAAAAAGCCAAAATATAAATTAGTATTACGAATTATTTTTATCAACCTGGGCCTTTTTCCTTCTAATTTAAAAGACAACTGTTAATCTAATCGTATTCGCAGCATAGTATGTAAAGGAGGGTAATATAAAATCATTTCAGTGATTTCATACAAATTTATAAATGAGTAATTGACTAATAATTATAAGGTGCCCATTAATTTGAGAATTACAATTTCTTTGACTAACTGTAACTAATAAGGAAATGGTTATATAAAGCATGCCTACTTTAACAAAAAAACAAGCATTTAATGTAGAACTGCTTCAGTTACTTTTGAATATATGTGTTTGATCACATTTTTTAGCAGTTTTTCAATGTCCTGCATGTAATAAATATGTATTAAAATATACGAGATTCACAAGTAGTAAGAATACATCTGTGCATTCAACACATATATTTAAATTTGTATTTGCTTCTATTTGGTTTATATATTTAAATTTATATATTTAATAGCACATATATGTAACTGCCATCCTAAAACTACATGAGTTTCACTTTTCCCAAATGTTGAATTTAAATTGTGACTGTACTAAATTTAAAATACTAAATTTCAGCAAAAACCTTGAATTTGATTGACATCTGTAATTAAGTAAGAATTAACAGTATCTTCATTAACCTCTTTTTTGGGGGTAGTGGTGGCAGAATTTGAGGCCTTTCCCCCACCTATTATTAACCATTATTTTTGTTGGCTTGAAATATAATATGTAAGAAATACATAAAATAGTAAGTTGTACAACTAGTTATATTTTTTTTTAACTAGTTATATTTTTAAAGAATCATAACTACATGAATACAGCTGGATATCAACATCAAATATTTATAGCTGGATGGCATCAATTAGATTAGATTTGACAATGAAATATATAGGGTAAAAAAATAAGCATTTGATTCTATCAAATGGTTAAATTTACCAACAGGCAGAATTGAGATATTCCATCCCCCTGTTCCATTAGAATTAAAATGTATGTAACATAAGAGAATTCAATATTTCTACTCATCTAATAGCTTGACTTAATTAATTAATTATATGTTAAGAATATCAGTTGTATTCTGTTTAGGTTTCTAAGGCAGTATTGAAGATTGTTAATTAAAAAGGTTTTATTTTATTCAGTCATTTAAAACTAGTTTAAAATTGCCATCCCTGGGATTAGGTAGGTTAATCAGAGCATGACACAATGATTTTCCTTTGTGTTCATTAGAATAGTTCCAGAGAAACAAAACTGTTACTCACAGCAACCATAGTGATTATAAAGTCCACACTAGACATTTTACTGTTTTCATTTTACAGTGAAACTTTTTTTAAAAGCCCTTTTGTGAAGTGCCGTCTTTGATATTTATAGCACAATACTATAATCACAAAGTAGTTACTTTTACAAAGCAAGAAAATACACTTTCTCATGTGTTTACGTGTGTGTGTGCGCGTGTGCTTATGTGTGTCTGTTTTGTAATTTCTAGGAAGGTCTAGGAAATTTAAAATTTCACTTAGAATGATAAATTTCAAACTACACAGTGATGGTTAGTTATCTTGGGTTTTACCATTATAATAATTTCTCTTTGAAGCACACTTATTTTGCATTCTTGTTGATATATACCCTTAATTTTATCACTATATTCTGTAGATTTGTCAGTTTAAATAGCTGTGAAGTCAGTCTGTTGTGGAGCTTTGCTGTTATTTGCTTAACAACCTCACCAACTGTTAAATTGTTTCCAATTGCAAAAATGTTTGTTGCTAGGGGTATTTTGATATATACTCTATTCCTTTTTTTGGTCTTCTCACAATAAAAGAAAGTAGAAGTATAAGAAAAATTTACCTCTAATTGTCTATTTTCAGAAAAGCAATAACACTATTAAGAAAAGATTTAATTTTAATTTTGACATTGTTTCTTTTTCCACTAGGATTTATTACATGTATTATAGATATGTTTATTTAAATTTATTTAAACATCTCCATCAGACCTAAATCTTGTTACTGGCCAACATTCTTCATACTTTGTTTATTTCTTTGCTGAAGACAGAGTTAGCTGTTGCAAAGAAGCTAGTACCGGCTC